GAAGCCGAAAGCATGACGCTTTGGCTTCTCCTGCTCCTCCTCCTCGCCGTCGTGGAGGACAAAGAGAGGAAGCGGAGGCCGATGAAGGAAGAAGATGCGAGCGCCGCTGCTGGTGTTGCTCCCATCGTCGCTTATAATTTATTTGTTTTGTTTATTTGAGAGGTGTGAGAGAGGCGGCGCCCCGACTAATATTTTCAATTTAGTCCCTCAAATCACTGGAATTTGTATTAGGTTCCTAATTGTTTGGTTAATTTGTGCAAGCCCCTTAAATCATTTAAATCTGTTCTAGGTACCACATTTTCATAAGTTGTTTTAAATTAATCTCTCTAATTGTTAATTCTACTCTGGATTGGAGCGGATAATTTCGAATAAGTTCGGAATCGGTGGATCCTGTGGAAATTTTCTTGATTTGAGGGACTAACTTTAAAATAACTTGAGAACCGGGAGACCCTTTGGTGACTTCAACGATTATTAAGGGGCTAACTTTGAAATAGTAAAGATTCAAGGGACTATGTAATTGCGACGCCGAGTACGTAATTTGCGTCTATCTAACGCTTCTAACGTAATATTGTAGAGCTTTTCCTTTTTCTTTTTTTCCCTTTTTCTCCCTCTCTTGAGGGCTCCGGTTTTATGAATAATCACAACTATCTGTGTCACTCCATTATGCATATTTGTTTGCTTAATTTCCTTTTTACTGAAAATCAGAGAATATATCTATATATCCTTCATGAATAAAAGCATTTAAAATGACTCATATCCGATAGAAACAAAGCAAATTACATTGATAATGCATTTTTACTCTAGCACAGCAAAACGATCACACAACACACACAAGAGATCACACAAACAAGAAACCTGGAATCCAAGAAACGCACATGAAACTAGCATGCTCAGTAATTCTATCAATGAACAGAAACTTTAGGGGACGCATATATCAAGCTCATAAGGAGATGTGATATCAATAAGGTCCGTATTCCACGCTGCAGGCAGGCCGGGAACCGCTCCCTCCTCTGGCAGTACCACATGTGTTCCTCATATCGTTCGTCGCGAGGGTGAGACATGCGGTGCATTGATTCACCGGAGCACCCGCTAAGCACATAGAGCTCCTGTATACATTAGGATCCGTCAAATACATGGAAAATGCTCTTCCCTGAGCGGCTGCTGTCGAAAGTCGGATGCTCTCGACGACCGTGTTGACATTGGCCGCGTAGTTAGGCTCTGCGGACGGATTTGTATGTTGCGCCATCGCCACATTCGACCGTTGTTGACACGGAATCTGCAAGAACTCTAGCCATGTGCTCACAAGAATAAGCGCAATCAAGGCAATAGTACACTCTTACTCATGATTAATAATTGAAGATTACTTGAATTCTCTGTGTGTTCTTTATGCTTTGATTGTTGATGGCCAAAGCTACGAGTATAAATAGGGGATGGGATAGGAGTATATGCTCCCTTTGCTCTCATTGGCCGGCTGACATATATGGCTTTTCACTAACTTGGTAAATATCTTAACTAGGTTAGTTTTGATCCAAATAAGGGGCGGTTCAATCCTTATCCCGACAAGGGCCTCAATTTGAACTAAGAAAATCAAGTTTGAAGTTAGTCCGATTTTACCCAAACAACAATTCAACCCATTAACTTGGATAGCATGGGAGTTGCCAAACACACCATTAATATACATGTTCATACATTAACGTTCTTCCACTATGTTTTTTTTCCACTTTTCCTTTTTGGGCACTTAATTAGGTGCCTTGTGTAAATAACAAATCTTGCTTTCTTTATTATATGTCGTATGATTAGGCAGTTGATTAAAATCTTAATTTCAATTGAAGTTTCTTTGCAATATGCATTGTCCCTCTTTTGTTTTTGGATTCAAGAGTAAAACTCGGCCTCCCCTACTGTAGTATATTGAAGTAACTTTGGGATTTGTGTAGCTGACCCCAAAAATGTGGGACAAAAACTTTGTTGTTGTCATATATAGATTGTAAATGATATATGTCTTAGGATCTCATTATGCGATCCTAACTCCTAAGTATGGATATTGATCGTCATGCATGAAACCCCTTATGGGGGGAAATATCTGCACGCAAACAGATTCATTGCTAGTCCCTGGTTATAAATACAATGAGAACAAGAAGAAAAACTCTACGTGTACTACAAGAGTTGTACTATTCTGGCACTACTACACACAAATAAGTGAGATCCATTGCAATTCATAATTTCTCTTTACAATTTACAAGAAAAAGTCCCACTTTTTTGTTTGTAGTAGTACAAGAATAATATATATATATAAAGTTTATAATTTCTATAATAAACCAACTACTGAGTCCATAAATTTATAAATAACTTAATTAGGATACAGACAAAATTAATTCATTAAACTATTATACGCATATTCCGTCCCATATAAGGATTTCCTACATTATACCCATGCCGCGCCACACTAAAAAGCAAACAACTAGCATCTAAAATCTTTGACCAGTGCATCGTTAACTACAAATATTGAATTGAAAATAATTCTTTGTTGCACTCAACACTTGCGCGCAGCGTAAAGGACAATGCGAAAACTCATGAGTAGCCTTCGTTTTGAGCTGCACAAGAACTAAGTTTTGGCACAAATTAGTAGACTAATTCTACGATATCTAATTGGCCGGCCAATCATAAAGCGTATCTAGACATTAATTAATTTAATTTGTCCGGATCTATGAAACAAATCCTAAAGGATATATGATCCCTTTTAATCAAACAAGCACACGAGAAAGCGACAGCTACGATATAGTTCACTTGATCATATTTGATGACGAGAAATAGGTTCAAATATCACAATATATAAAATGTCACGTTAGTTACGTACGTGCAGACAGCGAAAAAACTTTTCTCTCTCTAATAAAATTGTGGAGACATTACAGTATTGAGGCGTTTGATTCGGTTTATGTTTGGTTGTTGTACGTCGATGAGGTAATTAATCTTGTAAGGATATCCTGTAACTGAACTTTCTAAAATTACACCTGCAAGATTGTTTGAACTTTCAAAATTATTTGAATATTATGCATAGTTTCAGTTTTGAGTTCTGCAAAACTGCGGCAGTAAACAGCATTGTTGCAGTTGTAAAGACTGCAATTCTGCAGTTCGAAGGCTGTATAAAAGGGGGAACAATGCACATTAGAGGGACACAAGAAAGAGCAGGAGAAAAAGATAGAAAGATCTTAATTGAATTCTTTCTCCTTAGAGAAGTAATCTCCTGTAAATCCCTCTTGCAATATCTCTGTTTTGATGAAGTTTCGGAACGATCTTTTGGCGCGCAACCAGTGATCGTTACAGAACAATCTGGACCTGAATTAATATTTAGAGAGGCAAATCTACGGCACTAGTCATTGCAGATATCGGGGCAAATGTTGCCTTAAAAGACAGAGGGAAATCAAGTCCCTTGATTCAGGTGTTGAAGTCCACTACGTACAATCAAGCCCAAAGTATGAAGCCTATTTCTCACCCATCAAGTAGATGACATAGGTATAGAGATCTCTGTAATTGCGGGAGCTGGAATGTTGCATTCTTCGTATTTCGACTTTGTTAAGGGACGACCATTTTAGAAGCTATCGATCATAAGCTACGTTGAGAAGAAACATGGGGGAATATGATAGATCGTTTCATATTTTATTTCGTTATTTTCCTTCAAAGAAACACAAAAGAAACATGCTTCATGCATCAGAGTAAAAGAAGAATCAAAGCAAGTACATGGATAAATGCAGTTTACTCTAGTACAGGAAAACACTCACAAAACAAGCGAATTAATCGTTGGACCCAAAGATTAGCACACATAAAAACTACCTTGCGTGCTCATTAATTCTAACAATGAGCACAAACTTTAGGGGAGACGCATCAAGCCTGAAAGGGTCTGATATCAGTAAGGTCCATATTCCATGTTGCAGACAGGCCGAGAACCACTCCCGCCTCTTGTAGTACCGCATATGTTCCTCATATCATTCACCGCCAGAGTGAGACATGCCGTGCATTGAGTCACCGAAGCATCCGCTGAGCACGCAGAACGCCCGTATACGTTAGGACCCGTCAAATATGCGGTAAACACCCTGTCCGGAGCGCTTGCTGTCGATACACGCATGCTCTCGATGATGGTGTTAACGTTAGCGGCGTACTTAGGCTCGGCGTTGGGGTCGTAGGTTTCGCCGCATCCAACTTCTGTTGGCACAGAATATGCAAGAACTAGCCATGAGCTCACAAGAACTGCAACTATGGCGGCAGCCTTGCTCATGATCACTGATAATTATGTTTCTTATTCTTGTTTATGCTGCATTGTTGAAGGAGAAGGGTATGAGTATAAATAGGCATTGGGGGAAGAGTATATGCTACTTATGTTCTCATTGGCCGGCTGATATGGCATATTGATTGGGCACAAAAGTGTTGAGAGATGTGAGGCCCATTCATTGGTATTGTACATATTGTTCAACTTGTGCATTGTTCGACTTTGCACTTAAAATGTTTGTGTGCATCACAAACTAGTGTTTCTCTTTTGGAGAATTTTTTAAAAAGACCCTTTTTAAAAAAATAATTAGCAAAAACAACTTTTTTGCTAAATAATTAGCAAAATCATTTTATTTTTTTTGCCAGCTGATCAAGGTTGGCCAGAAAAAGTGGTCTATTTTGCTAAATTTAATGTTAAAAATACACGGAACTACTGGTCCTGTGTATTTAGCATCGCTAATCACCTCTTAACCCTAACTGATCAGCGAACACACGGGACTAGTAGTCTCGTGTATTTAGCATCGCTAGGGTTTTAAAACTCTGAAATAAGATGTAAATTTTCGTGAAAAAAAGACTATATAAACACCTATGTGCAGTTGGGTCTAAAAAAACCCGAAACCAACTCAGAACAAGAAAAACTGGAAACCTGTCAGGCGGTCGACCGCGACTTGTGTGGCGGTCGATCGGCACGCATATTTCCAGTTTGTGCAGGTTTTTCCTTTGTGCTTGTTTTCGACTCGATTCTTCACATATACAGACTTGTTTGCACTCAAAACACTTGCTATCATGCTCATACAGCATTTAATTATATTTATCACGATAAATATCCACTTATCTCAATTAATCGCATATTATTTTAAATTATCACATATTAATTCAAATTTACGGGGTTTTACATTACCCATGTAAATATACGATTATCCATGTAAATATACGAACTCAAGGATAATCCGTGTAGTTACATCATATCTTAAGGTACCGGGTTGTAATTACATCATGCGCTCGTTAACAGAGGAAAGAAAATCATAATTGATCTTGACTCAATTCATCACAACATCGTACTGTGTATACATAATGAGGGGAAACATGAGAAACTACAAAATATGCCCATCATATTTATTGTCAAATGCAAATACAGAACCTACCAATATAATTCCTCCAAAAAGGAACGTTCAGTACTTTTACCCAATCTGCTTGGCTGCCCCATACAAAATCCATTAAATAACAATGATTATATTCATGAAGCAAACAAGCCATCAAAGAACATACAGATCAATAATATCAAATCGGTGTGAGCGTATGAGAACGTAGAAAACAGTAATTAACTATATGCATCTAAAAATTTACTGGCTACCAACAACACAGTCAAGTCGGAGATTGGGGACCACAAGACATCATATACATATATATCTGACTAAAAATGAAGTATTTCAGCTGATTGATGAAAAATTCCTTCACAGCAAACATAGACAAATTTTATTGCAGACCAACTAGTCTGAATAATTGATAGAGGAACGATTGCAGGCAACAAGAAAATTTAGGAATTATAAGAGTCGTCCTAGGCTCCTTATTTCCACAGACTCCAGGTCTATCAAACAAAAAGATTATAAGATCTGGGGAGAGATTTCCTCATAACACATACATATATTCATTAATATCTTGAATATTCCTTCACTACCATTAAAGCTAAAAGCTAATTCTTTACGGTTGTGACGTGCCTCAAGAGCATATTACCCACATCCCGAGAGATACTTGATGATTGTTCCTTCAGCTGGAGGATTTTGCTCGCAGTTTCTTGTTCAAGGCGCTTTACATTAGCACCAGAATCTCCGCTGCTCTGGTATACCAGTAAATAAGAAAAGGGTAAGTATGTGGACAAGCTAGCATGTATAGTCAAATTGAGAAGATACGCGTGGATTTTACCGCAGCAAGCTTCTTCTGGAACTCAGCTTCCATGTGGGCACGGAATTCAGCAACCTCCTTCTCAGCTTCTTCCTTCGCCTGCTTCAGCCTGGCCATCCTTGCTGGTAGTGCATAAAAATTAGTAAGTACGTCAATCACCAAATAGAGGACGTACAAATCTAATAGGTTAGAATGACATTTTGGTTCATAGAATCAAAGCTTCCCAAGTTTAGTATTGTTGACCAAACCCCAACTGTGACTTCAGGGTTTTCACATCGTATCAAGGACCTTTGGCATGGTATTAGAGAAATTCAAGTTCAAACCCCTCCAGCCACATATTTAAAGCGGATGCTAAAAAGAATGATACCGATGGGTGAGTCCAAGTTTCGGCCATGCACTCAATCTGCAGGGGCATTAAACTACTATAACCCTCAACCCTCACCAAAACTTTCAGAGTTCTGGTGCAGGTGCAGCGGAAGGGTCCTTTGACGTGTAGAAATTAAAATATGGATGAGAGATGTGATAAATATAGTGTTGTATGTAACAAAAACAGAATCAGTTCCAAGAGAATATCCCTAAATAGTAGGAATTGGCTACAACAAATATTCAAAAATATTTGAATTCTTCGGCACTCCCCCTTACCCCTTACGCTGAGAGTGGAAGCATTGCATGAAATTGGATTGATATTAAGGAAGGTGCAACAGCATGTAGGTTTTCTACTGATTCTTCTCAATATCAATGCTCTCCAAGAAAGCCTATAATCATTTTATCCGGTTGCTCAAGCTTTCTCTCCTGCATATGAGAATAAGAGGATAGCAAGACTGCATGGGAGAAGAGGTCGGCAAGACTGCATGCCAGAAGAGGTTGACAAGACTACATGCCAAAAGAGGTGGACAAGATAGCATGAGAGAAAAATAGGTTAATAGACTGCATGCAAGATAAAGAGGCCGAAAGACTACATGCTAGAAGAGAATGCTGAAGAGACAGCATGTAAGAAGACCATGCCGATGATATGGCATGTGAGAGACTAGAAAATGCTAATACAAGATGAACTTGAAGGATTTGATCAAGTTGAATGTGCTGAAAAAAGTATGGTCTGAGAAGGCTGCGAAGGTCAATAACAGGTCCTTTAGGACAAGCGAGACGAAAATTAAGTTGATGAATAATTCCATTTTCACTAATAACAAGTTCATGACAGATGAAAAAATTCCAAGTTGTTATTAGATTGAACAGTTCTGATGCATCTGCCAAAGTAAAATATTTAAAATTACATAACATAGAAAAACTTTCAATTTTAAATAGATCTATGTGCATCAAGTAAGATCATCCACTAATTTAAAAAAAAACATAATTATGAGTTCAAACAAAATACTTGCCCCAAATTTCAATGTGAATTAAAGCAAATGTTTAAACAGTGCAAATAGAGCTTGAGGGAAAAGGTAAGGCAACTTGTTTGGCAAGATGACAAACGTTACAAACTTTAGACTTTTTAGTTAATGAAAGATGAAGGTATTGCAAATTTCATTCAAACGATCAGATGAGAGGAGATGATTGAGTCACTTATGTCATAGGTCCAAAGAAGAAGACATTAATAAAGATGTCTAAGAACATGTAATATCCAAATAATATAGTCCATCGTGTTCAAAGCCTCAACCAATAACATTGCCCCTCAATTAGGGGTGGAAATGAACCAAATAATTAACAAATAGTTCGATAATTGTTCGAATAACTATTCGGTCATAATCGATTCAGTAGTTCATTTATCACTAAACAAATATTTCTTAGTATTTGAGTTTACTAACGAATAGAATTTAACTAGATGTATATTCGATTTGTTTGTCTATTAAATATTCGTTTAAAATTTGATCACAACTTATTATTTGTATTATTGCACATATAATATCATATTTTTAACTCATTTACCATTTCTACTTAAGTTTTATATACTGATTTTAAGACTTAAATAATCTTAAATTTATTTTCTAATTAAATTTTTGATTTAAATATATATACATCATATATTATAAAGGAATAATTTTTATTTATGAATTTTAATATTATTTGAAAATTAAATTGTTTAGCGGAATAAATATACTTTGATATTCGATAAGTATTCGTGAATATTCATGAATATTTATCAAACATTAAGTATTCGAGTTCGAATTCGAAAAACTAGATATATGAATATTAGAGTCCGCATTCGAATTCGATAATTTTAAACAAATACAAATACGAACACTTTAGTATTCGATTCGATCATTTACGACCCCTGCCCTCAAGGGGTCATGAAAAAGACAGTAAGGCTGAAAAATGATGACGGATCTTGAGTGAGCTCCATTACAGAAATAAAGATCAAAATTGAAAGTGTGTAAACAACATTAGTTAGTTGCAATGTGGGCGTGAGATGAACAAAATAGAAGCATGAAGTACGAAATTATCGTCCATCAGGTATGATGATTATCAGATGAAAACTAGAACTAATACTCTCTCGTAAAAAGAAAACAAAGAGAAATATGATCTATAGACCTAGTGTCAAGAATCCAAGCATTAAAGGAGATTATGTAACGGCAACAACTGGTTAATACCCAGTAGATTTGCCTTTAGAGACTCATTTATCTCACAAAGAATGTGTAAAGAAAAATGCAGGTTTAGTCAGCGGTGAAGGTAGGACTGTAGAAGCAGAAGTAGTGCTTGTTAAGATAGATGTGATATCAGAGGCTGCGTAGGATCTCGTCTGCTTTTCACAGAGATGAAGACGATAGCAGGATAGCCGAAAATCTTGTAGCAAGCGTCATGATTGTGACCAACCATTTAGCAGAAGAAGCATATGTCTATAGATCATGTTAGGTCCAGAAGATGAGTGAAACACAACTTGACAGAAGGTACAGCAGAGGATAAGAATATGACTGAGTTATCAATGGTAATGTATGAAGTATTGGCTTGCAGCTTGGAGAACGAGAGAGTAGACACGTTCAATATTGGGAAGGGGATCAATAAGAAAATCTAAATACGAACGTTGGAGTAAATCTCATTAACATGAGAAATTGCATGAGCTGAAATCATTAACATGAGAAATTGCGTGAGTTGAAGCTGTTGTGAAGCTTCGAAGATCATGGCAGGGATCGCATGTGCACGTTGATAAGTATGATAGGGTGAAAGTTCGTCCATAGACTCTTAAGATGATTGCAATACAGTTAGATACAATCCCTATTTTGATGGGAGGTTGAGATAGTGCGCTCCAAGTGGAAGATGAAAGGGCTGTTGAAGGAGACAGCCAATCACAGAATTCATTCTGTAAAGTTATGGCGGCATATAGGATCCCTGGTGCGAGATCATGGTTGTTTGATATGAGAATCTAGTGTTCACATGATTCCTAGAAGAGAACGTCAAATCAGTTTCCGATGGGTACTCGGTGGTGTCATTTATAATACCAAGTGCGTTCTTCATTGTGAGAGTTATGCTCACGGTACAACTCCATGTCAAGTAGCTTTCACTGGCCAGAAGTGGTGTGACAAACACAGCATTATGGCTGTCTGATGAATGGAAGATAGGATTGGTGTTAACATCTAGCTTAACCATCAAAGAAGGAGACAAAAAGAACTAGTGGAGTTCCCCTGGTCAACGATGGCGGAGGGAAATAACTGATACAATGTACAAATTGAATATCGAATAAAAAGATATGTATATCTTTGTATTCCTTGTACATGGTCAAATATGAATTATACAAGAGGCATTAGTGCATTGACAGTACAAGCTAGAATAGAAAGCTCACAACTATATTAGATTCTCAAATCTTTGAGATTTTATTTAGTCAACAAAAAAGAACGTATCAGTCACACAACTTCTTACAGATGACAACTACACATCATAAAGCCACGCGTTAATCATTGCTCTCACACCCAAGAACAAACTTAGATTCATTAATGGCACATCCAAGTGCCTGTCAAAAACAGAAATAACGTTCTCGTTCTGGAACCATACCAACAACATGGTTTTCTCCTGGCTTCTCAACTTGATCCATCATAATCTACCTCCAATTGTCCTATATGGACCATCATGGCAGCATGAAATGAACTCTGTGATCGGTTCTCCTTCTAACGCTTCGTCCACTTGATGATTATATGTCACTATACTATGATCCTCTCAAGACTCTTCAGGATGAACTTTCAACCTAAGACGACTTACTAACATGCACATGCAACGCTCGCAGCAACGTCAACTCATGCAATATCTCATGGTCTTAATGAGATTTACTCCAATGTTCATAGTCAAATCCTTCTTATGGATGCCCTTTCCAACCTCGAACATGCCTATTCTATCATTCTCCAAGATGAAAGGTAGTTCTCCATACATATCACCCCTACCATCAAGTTATCAATATTTCTCAATGTTATAAATAGGCTAAATAGTCCAAACATAATTCCTCTTCTTGACTGGAAAGATTGTTAGTCGTTTTCACTCCTACGCTTGCAGGAAGTGTAGATAAGATAAGATCTATCTAATTTTAGTTTGTTGATAAAATCAAATCTCAAAGTTTTGATATTCTAATACAATTGCAACCTTCCTATTTTCGCTCCTACTATTAAGCCACTATTGCCTTCTGTACAATTTATATGTCATCATGTACAAGGAATAAAAAACTATACACAACTTTCCATTCAATTTCTACAATTTTTTAACTACATACACTTAACAAGTGTGTTAATCTTTTAAGCTTCTCATCTCACATAGAAAAAAAAACATAATCATCACTAATTAGAGGGGAAAAAAGGAACAAGAAGTATTTGTTGATCTTCAGACCATTCTATTACCTCAAACTCCCTCCTTATTAGTGGCTCTAGAACAAAAGAAAAGAATATTTATTGAGAATTTCTGGTTATGCGGTCAGACTTATCCCACAATAAAGTTAAATCATTACGTTGTTTTTCACTTGCAAAAGGTTCTTTATTTTGATTGTTAATCGTGTCCATGGGTATGAGTTATTATCTGCAGGTTGTCGGTCACATGACTTAGTAGTTGGCACCAAGTGCATCTTTTCGCAAGAGGATTGCTAAGGTGTATGACTTGGTACTATAGTTACTTTCCGTGCAGTATAGGATTGCCAAGATATTGTCAGTTCTCCTTTAAGTAACCAACAATATCTAAGACCAAGAACACATCTGTGTAAAGGATATGAATATAATCTGAAGCGACATCATACAAACAAGCATCTCTGCAGAAGAATACGTAAGTGTAGGATGTACCATTCCTGGCATTGTTAACAATGTGTTGAGCTTCCTGCTCGGCAGCCAACAATTGCTGAATTCCACCTTGACGTGTGCTTGAAGCCATCACTACCTACATAGTTCCAGTAGGATATTTTTGAAAGAAAAAAAAGTTAATTATAACAGACATGATAAGCACTTTGCGAGTGCAATATTTTTGTGCAATATTTTTTATGTATCTCATGTAACAGTTTTGAGTTAATGTAATTATGACAACAGAGGAATAATCCAAAATCAGACCCATAGTTCGTGAGTGATTGGTCACAGTTAACGGACTGGTATGGAAATCATAATTCAAAATCAATAAACGATATTACAACAAATGGAAAGCAAGCACCGAAGGAAACTGGTAGTACTTTATCAACACTTTAACCATGTGTTTTAGCATCTTAAGGAAACTGTATGCTCCTGGAAATAAGAATAAGTACGCAAGTGACGCTAAAAAAACGAAACAGCTCTTAGATAGAAAATCTAATATCTCATTTAAATCCTAAGCTTTCAAAAATAGTAATTAGAAAGAAATGAAATGTAGTATTTTGAAATTAGTCCCTCAAATCATTGAAATTGCAATTTAGGTTCCCCAGCTCTTATATGTTGTTGGAAGGATTAGTTTTAAACAATTATCAGAATCGGGGAATCTAGTAGTAGTAATTTCAATGATTTGCGGGGCTAATTTGGAACGAATTATAAGAATTAGGGACATAATAGTTTCGCCTTTGTTTTATGTTCTTATTCTAAAAGTACTCGACTTTGTTTTTTCCCCTACTCGTGCAAGAAAATGACGGCGAAAAAATAACAGAATCATCGAGAGAAAAAGTAAATCTTGCTGAAGGAAAAAAAGGAAAGAATAGAAACAATTTTCTCCCAAGATCTCAGTCCCTTCTAGATAATTAACAGTTGTATTGTAAATGTGGTGTAGGGTTGGCTAAAAAAAATAGTCAACTTTTCGGGAATTACATGGATAGTCCCTCCTTAAAAACAATCCGGGCTGCATAAAAAACCAATCATGGATAAAAGATCGGTCCAGACTATTTTAAGATAGTACTTGGACTATATGAAAACGAGCGCAGCACAAATTGATACAAATGACTACACTAGATCAGAATATCCTGAGTAGCTTTCTTGAAATTGGAATAGATTTGAGGTGAACTACAATAACTCTCGGAGTTTTTATTGAAAGGGTTGATTCTTCCTGAGGGGCGGCGCAACTTCCCTCGGTCTTAACCCACTGAAGTATACTGATAAAATATCGCCCGTTTACAGTTTGTTGCATGTGAGTCGCGAGTCAACCTTTTGCCACTAGACAGACAATGAGCTCCTTTGTCAAATCTCCAAAGGTTCCCAATGATCACATGCTTCTTTCGGCGACTTTCCCCTCTCCCTCCCTCCCTTCTATATACACAAACTTCCCTCTCTCTCTCTCTCTCTCTCTCTCTCTTCCACCCCACCCCCCAAACCCCCAACCCCCGTTATATACACAAACTTATACCTCCTCTCGCAAACCCATTACCACTCTCAATGACTACTGCTGACCCCCTTCCTCCAAATAACTCAAGCCCAATGCTCTCCTTCTCCCTAGACCTCAACATGCCCGATAACCCGTTTTCGCCTCAAACTGCACCCTCACCCAGCTCCGACCCGGACTTCAACTTTAGCATCGAGATCGCGACAGCAGCCGGAAACCCTGCGCCAGCCGACGAGCTCTTCTGCAATGGCAGAATCCTCCCCGTGCCTCTCAAACCTCTGACTCCGAACCCGAACCCGGACCAGCTGGCGGGAACCGCTAAAGAAAAAAATGGCAGGAAAAAATCCGTTTACGGAAGCTCAGAAGGAGCAACTACCCTACGTCGGCAGGGGGTCTGATCAAAAGTAAGCTATTGCGGAGCTACTCGACCGGGTCGAGTCCAGGCCCGAACCCGAAACCGCAACAGCGACCGACAAAGAGTTGGAAGAAGAGTTATCATCATGTCAGGGGTGATCACAGGATAAATTATGTTCCGTTATTTCCCAAACAGAAAGGGATAATTGGGTTTTTAATGTGCAATTGTGTTGGTAGCAGTGGTAACAAGGGAAGGGAGTATTATTGTTCTCCGTAATATTTTTTAAGAAAAATTGCTTTTATTTGCTTATTTGTTTAATATTTTAAAGGTTATTATTGGTCCATAACAATGTGAGGTGGGTGGGATATAGATCTGTAAAGGCTATATCATTCTTTGCTTTTAGATTTGGTTTAGTGTGGTTGTTGTTTGTTGTTGGCTTGGGAGTTCATATGGCTTTTTTAATTATTGAAGATGAAAAAGGTTGGATTGTGATTTGGCTTGATAGTGATGTTTCAATTGCTGATCAACTGAATTTGTGAGTTAGGAATATTGGGTTTATATATATATATATACATATATATATATATATAAACGGCGAAAACAGTTGAGAAGAATAGGAAAAACAATGCAGGAATCATTTTTGGTGTTGTTCGGTCGATCGCGAGACAAGTGGTGGTCGACCGGAAACGTGCACGACTTGGTACAGATTCTGGATTTTTTGAACGGTCGATCGTCAAACCCTATAATCGTTTTTTGGTTTCTATCGTTTCGTCCGGTCGACCGCGACGGTTTCGACAGTCGACCGCTAATCGGGTTTGGGCCTAAGCTTTATTTCTTGTTCTGATTTTGTTTGTGTTTTGATATATATTAAAACACACATTTTTAGGGTTTTTAAAGAAGGCAAAAAGAAGAGACTTTTGAGTAGTGTGTTTGGGAGATTTGGTGAGAGTTTTGAGAGCTTTGTTTGAGAGATTAATTTGTAAGATTTTGAGTTATTTTGTAATCTCAATTTGTACTCTCTCTAATAATGAAAATTCATCCCCTTCTTGTCCCGTGGACGTAGACAACTTGTCAAACCACGTAAAATTCGTTTGTTTATGTTTATGACATTATTTTGATCTTGTGTGACCTTCTCTCGGCGTTTGCATGGATTTCCTCAGATCCCAACAAGTGGTACCAGAGCCCAGGCTACGTTTGGGGATTAGGTGGAGTAGATCGCTTTGGAAGCTCGTTTAGAGTTTCAATTGGAGATAAATGTGAAATTTTTACTATTGTGGATCTTGTCTTCCATCGTGTGGGGGTGAGATCTTTTAAAGGCTCTTATTAGGGTTTCAGTTGGAGGTAAAAATCGTCTTCTCACAGTTTGGATCTATTTTTCAGTTTCTTCCGCATTGGTTTGTTGGTATTTTGAGGATGATGGCTTGGAAAGAATGTGTTGAGAGTGGTTTTGCTAGCGTAAAGACCGTTTAAAGTTTGAATATCCACTCTATAAAGATAGATGTGGAAAAATTTAATGACACGAACAAATTTGGATTATGGAGATGTGAAGTTTTGGATACGCTGAACGCGTAAAATTTGGAAGATACTTTGGAGTTGGACTGCAAGTCGGGCGACATTAAAGAAAATGTTTGGTAGAAGATGAATCGAACAGCGTGTGGTGTGATTAGATCTTGTTTAACACAGGATCTAAAAAATGATGTGATCAATAAGACTTCTGCAAAAAAAATGGGAGATTCTTGAGAGCAAGTATTTGACGAAGAGTGTTGAGAACCTCTTGCATTTGAAAATGAGGTTTTACCGTTTCCAGTTAAAGAAGGGAATCTCGATTAGTGATCACATGAACAACTACACGAAGCTTCTTACTGATTTGACGAATGTGGATATTATGATTGATGATGAGGACAAGGCATTGTTGTTGAGCTCCTTGTCGGACGAGGAATATGAGATCTTTGTTCTTACCCTAATTAATGAAAATGCATCTCTTTCATATAGTTAGACCACTATTACACTTGTGAACTATCAGCTTAGGAAGAAAGACAATTGAGTCTTCAATTAATATAGTAACGGAGGCATTGGTCGCAAGAGGGAAGAGTCCAAACCGAAGTAGGAGGTCGCAGTCTAGAGGAACACATCCTTCAGTTGGTAGGAATCAATGTGTTTTTTTCAAAAAAGATGGACATTAGAAGTCTAAATGCCCAAAGTTGAAAGATCGAGCCGGGAAGAATAAGGAAAAATTATTCAGAGGTGAATGTTGCCAAATTCAGATTCGGATTCTTCGGACTACTCGTGCCATGTCTTACCGTCAGTTTGTGATGCCGACTCTACGAAGTGGATGTTAGATTCGGATGCTTCATACCAGATTTGTCCTAAGAGGAATTGGTTCTCCAGCTTTGAGGAGTTGGAAAGAGAGAATGTCATGCTCATGGGTAATGATCATGAATGCGCTATTTGTGGTATTGAAACAATTCGGATCAGCATATGTGACGGGATGACTAGGGAGTTGAAGGAAATGAGGTTCGTTCCGCAATTATCGAAGAACATCATTTTACTTGGGATTTTAGAGACAGCAGGCTATCGGGTGATCTTGAAAAATACATCTCTAAAGGTCATAATGAGGTCCATGACTGTAATGAATGGCGTCAGAAAGAATAATTTGTACTATTTGATTAAGAGCACGGTGATAGGTGGAGCGCTGACGACTTCTATTGATTTGGTTAGACTGTGACATTTGAGGAGGCTGGGACATTAGATTGCTGATTCCGTACATGGATTGGAGAAAGGTGTTTTGACCTGTAATTTGAAGTCTTGTGAATATATTTGTGTGAGCAAGAAGACCGAGGTGAAGTTTGGCATTTCTATTCACCAAGCGAAGGGCCTTCTAGATGATGTTCACGTAGGCTTTTGGAAGCCTTCCAAGGAGGCATCCTTGAGAGGTAATAGGTATTTGGTTTCCTTTGTTAGAAATTGTTCTAAGCATTTATGGGTTGCAACCAAGTTCTGTTTGAGTGAACTCCTAATAGTCAACAGGTGGAAGAAGTGTATAGGCAGAATGGTAATACTTCGTTCTGAGTTTGGTAGAAAGTTCAAGAGGGATCAGCTTCTGTATTTTTACCAAGCTCAAGGCAGTTTGAGACACTTCATTAGAAAAGAAACATTAGGGCAACGAGATGATATGGCAAATTTGATAGGTTGTTCCTTGCTGGAGAATGATCGGTATTTGATGTCAAACAGTGGTTTGAAAAGGAGTTTTGATGTTGGGGCTTTGACATATTAGAGTCATCTTATTTACAGGTTGTCATCTGTCGCGATTGGAGTATTTGGATCTGGTGGGGCTGTTTCAGATTTTGGGTTACTTCAGATATTTAGATGCCTAGCATATTATCATATCGAGGATATGAAATTTAATCTGAGTGCACATTTGGGATTCAGAGACGTGTTTGGTTACCAGTTATGGGATTCTGATATTGTTCTGAATAGTATTGTCACATTTGACTCTCAGTAAGTGAAGTGTTGGACAAATCATTTGGGTATCACAGCGGGTGAAATGTGATGCTACTTCACATTAGGTGGAGATTACTCCACGTACTGCAGATCATTCTGTATTGTTTGGAATTCTAACTGAGATGACACAGATTGGGGATCATGTTGATGTGGATACAGATAATTAGTTTGTTGATTCGAGTGTAGCTGGTGGACACAGTTCGGATTTGACTATGGTCGTTAGTTCACCTCAGGTGGAGGTGTTTGGTTCGTTTCACTTTGAGACCGGTTCGTTTCACTGAGGCCAGTAAGAGAGTTATCAGCTACAGATTTATTGGTGATGATCGTGAAGATTTAAAAATCCTTCTAGTTGATTGAGGACCTTTGGAAGCTATTTGGGTGAACTACGTGAGGCTTGATTCCTTGTGCAAGAGGATACGTAAGCAGTCATTTTGATACAGCCGGTTTGATGAACTGATACCAACACTTAGAGTTTGTTCGTATTCTCATTTGGTTCCCGATTTGTTGTGGATTGAGTTCGTTGTTGTGGATTGATTCCACTTCGTACTGGACAAAACAAGTAGGATGTTTGGTTTTGGTTGGTGTCGGCTTAGTTTTGGAAAAACTTTGTCGATGTGAAGAATTGTAGAAACGATGAAAACAGTTGAGAAGAACAGGAAAAACGCAAGAATCATTTTTGGTGTTGTTCGGTCAACCGCGAGACAAGTGACGGTCGACTGAAAACGTGCACGACTTGGTACAAGTTCTGGATTTTTTCGCCGGTCGACCGCGACGATTTCGACGGTCGACCGCCAAACCCTGTAATCGTTTTTTGGTTTCTGTCGTTCTATTCGGTCGACCGTGACGGTTTCGGCCCCGCCAAACCCTGTAATCGTTTTTTGGTTTCTGTCGTTCTATTCGGTCGACCGTGACGGTTTCGGCGGTCGATCGTCAATCGGGTTTGCGTATGGGCTTCGTTTTCTGTTCTGATTTGGTTTGTGTTTTGATATATATTGAAACACACATTTTTAGGGTTTTAAAAAAAGCAAAAAGAATAGACTTTTGAGCAATGTGTTTGGGAGATTTAGTGAGAGTTTTGAGAGCTTTATTTGAGAGATTAATTTGTGAGGTTTTGAGTGATTTTGTAATCTCTATTTATACTCTCTCTCTCTCTCTAATAGTGAAAATTCATCCCCTTCTTGTCCCGTGGACGTAGGCAACTTACCAGCCACGTAAAATTCATTTGTTTGTTTTTGTGGCATTATTTTGATCTTGTGTGACCTCTCGACGTTTGCGTGGATTTCCTCGGATCCCAACAATATATATATGGAAATATGATTCTAGAGAGCCACCTCAAATTAAATCTAAGAATACACCTCTCAATGCATGGATTAGGCTATTCTAACAGACGGTCCGCTCCATTTATCATGATTTAAATGTCTTTAAAAATCTATAAAATAAAAATCGTGATGTTTCAAAACTTCTAACATATATTTTTCATTGTCTCCTTAGTTGTATTGTCGTAAAACCATTAATTTTACAATCAATTGATGCATGAGTAACTACAATTCAACATGACTAGTTTTTTTGTTTATGTACCGTCCAAAACATATAGATCAAAATGGATTAAGTAAAGTGGTTATATATAACATAATTTTTAAGGTGCATTCTTAGATTCAATCTGAGGTGACTCCATAAAATCATATATATATATATATATATATATATATATAGTGCTCTTTAAGAACAAAATGATTAAAATGCAGATAACTAGCAATCTGCAACCATTTTGTTGGATCAAATTTATCGCCTTTTTTTTGGGAATCTGGGGCAGGTTTGTGACAGATGTATAAATTTTATTTATTATGATGGCATAAATAGCTATTAAAAGATTTACAGAAAGATTATTGTAGGATTGTTCTTTGAATGCATGAGAAAACAAGATACTGTAGAACTATCCTGATACAATGTGTATTGAATTTTTCAGTTGTAAATATTTTCTCAAAAGAAATTTATATGTTCAATTAGTTGATTTCTTTTTTTTATTTGCAATGTCAACTATTATCTATCTACTGAAAATAACATTGTAACAAATAAAATTGAGTTATAACTTTTTGAGGAAAATACTTGTATACGACTCTAGCACTTAGATCCTTGAAATTTTATAATTAAACCAATATTTTATTTCTTGTAAATTAAGATTGCCTTTTTTGGAAAAAGGCCGGAAGCTATATCTGCACAAGTAATTGTTTTTTCATTAAAATAAATTTGCCTTGCCATGAAAATCTCGGCGCATAAGCCCTGAGATTGGAAGAAAGAAGAAAGAAAATATTACTCATGGGGATTACACTGTGGACCTCATAAAAAATCTAAGATGAACATGATTAATCTACTTTGATCTGAAATGGCTCAAAAGGAGTAACCTTAATCAAGTCACGTTCCAAACATATCTAACATATATTCATGAGTCCAAACATATCTAACATATACTTATTTGAGGCTACTAAATCTTCACCCTACGTCTTTGTTAGACCGAAACCCACACCTAAGGCTGAATTTATACGGGACACTCCTAATAAGAAGGATGGAATATACACAAAGAGAGAAAATGGCACAATGCCGACGTGTCAAGCATGTAACTAAGAGCATGTTTGGTAAGTTGTCAAAGTGGCTTATAAGCTACTCTTGTGGCTAGGGGTGTGCAAACAGTCGGTCGGTTCGGTTTTTATCAAATTTTGAACAACCGAACCGAACCACCCATTAATCAAAACCGAACCGAACCGTTGCAAGTCAGTTCGTTGCGGTTCGGTTCAGATTGTTCGGTTCTAACTTCATCAAATTATTTATACATGAGTGCATCACATAGTAAAAGAATAATGGCAACTGTAAGAACAGTATGAAAATCATTTATACACGAAATTCATTTCACATAATTCAACAAATATCATATGGAAACAATTAATCGGAACCAGTCTACAATTGTTACAACTTAATGCCTGTAATTGTAAATGCTGTAAAATAGAGTCAGTTAAGATTCTCTAAAATCAAACTAAAGATCATTCATTTAATTAAATACCCACAAGAATTCCAATACTCCACAACTAGATCTAAATCATAAATTCAAACAGCTAGATCAACCTTAAGAATCAACATAATACACATAACAAATTGTTAGATATAGTGTAAATGAAACAAATATGAAAACTCTATCTAAACCTTTTAGTATAAGTACGGTCAATTAACATCATCCAAAAATCAACCTCAAGATTTCATTTTACTAAATACCTCAAGAATCCCAAGAATCCAAAAAGATCTAAATCATAAATTCAAACAAATAGATCAACCTTAAGAATCAACTTTAGTAAACACATAAAATTGTTAGCTATCTATCCTATGCCGTTCATCCTTGATGAATACCTAGATCATCAGCACAAAATAAATACCTAGCTAACCTAAATAAATATAATATACTATATTCATCCTTCAATTATCCTTTAACTCAAGAAGAAACTGCATCAATGACCTCCATAATCAAATTACTACATCAATACACCTTCAGCGGATCTAAATCAGGTCAAGAAGATATTTCAACTAAAAAATTCAACAAATTTGCACAAAATCGTCACTTAAAACCTTAAATCTAACAACATTCTATCAGATCTACAACAAATACAACGAAATATCCCAGATCTGTTTAAACTAAGCAACACAAATCCTAAATTACCTCAAAATTATTTTCCTCTTTCACCGAAATTTCAGCTCAGAAGTTCAAATAGATCGAAAATAGACGAAAAATTAAAGAAATAATAGAGAGATTAGGGTTCACACCAGAACTTGGAAGGAGAATCGCAAGGAGATGGATTCGTTCTCTCCGAGGGTTTGGAGATGAACCGTTGAGACGGTACTAGCGGGCGAAGTGGGCTGGCGGGTGGCGGCAGCTGCAGGGTGAGGTTGGACTTTCGGAGACTTGGAGAGAGTTCGGGTTCAGGTGTCTTGAGAATGAGGGATTTTATACCTAGTGAACGTATGAAGAACGGGTCCGGTAACGGGTATGGGTTACGGGTTAAAAACTTATGTTAAGCTAGCGCTCGGTTCGGACGGTTCGATTTGAAAAATTTTCAATCCGATCCGAACCGACTTATAAATAAAATCGATCCGAATCGTTAATTTTCGATATGTTCGATCGGTTTTTCGGTTTGGACCGAACCATGCACAGCCCTACTTGTGGCTACTTTTGTGGCTTATAAGTTATAACCACTTTGAGATGTTTGGCAAGTGCCTTATTTTGACTTACTAGTTCTTGTGCACGTGCAATGCACGTGGTTAAATATCAAAATAATTTTTATTTTGTTTTCTTACTATAACATAAGTCAGATTCATTTTGAGTTAAAATCTATAAACATGGTGTTATTGTGTTTTCAATCGTCAAAGTGTGACCATTTGCCAGTAACGGACAGGTGTACTTCTGCATGCAATGCCCCAATCAATTTGGCGGCCAAAGACCCGCAAGGATTCCACCTTAGCCGACTCACCGAGTCGACATTCCTTTTATGTCGACTTGAATGGCGGAACTTGTCGGCTCTCTTGTCAAAGACGACTCGCTACGAGCCCATTCGACCAACTATGTGACACCATTGCGAGGTCGACTCGAAAGGCATTACTTCTCGGCTCAGCCAAATAAAGATTTCAGTCTCGAGACTATCCACTGACAATGTGTCAACATCGCATTTAATGCTCGACAGGCGTCATCATGCCTCTAGTCCCGATAGTCTTCATGACTCATCGGACCACGTCAGCACCACCATGCCTCCAATCGCTTCTCATTTAATATAGAAATGATCTCTCCCCCAGTCGCCAGCCGACACCTGTAAAGTAGGTGCTGACGCAGCCGCTAATCCACACTTCTTCACTGTCATCCTGTACTCGGTCGAAGTGACTATCATACCATTATACCATCAGTATAAATAGAGGTAATATTCTAACATAGAAGGGGGCTCCCAGATTTTGACTTCTAGATCTGAGATTTTAAGTAATATCTGCAAATTATATTGCACGACACAAAAAAACTCTCCTAGTTCTTCATTTCCCCACTCAAGTTCACTGGTTGACTTGATTGTCAGAGGAACCACGGGGGAACCAGTTCCCGTCCTCTCACGAGTTTCTATTTGTGTAGGCATCGGCCCCCAACTCAGAACCGGATATTCAGGGAAGTGAGTGGCCCCTCATCAACCTCATCCAACCATTTTAGTTGACTGTGTGATCATTAACATCAACACATGGATTATTACGTTTGCCATAAATTTTATTTAAACATTTTTTTAAAAAAATTATGAAATAGATGATTAATTTTGAAAATCTCTTGGGACCAAGAATAAATAACTAACAAGTTTGCAGTGAAAACTAGGGGAACGTTGTACATTCTTAATAATTATTAATCTTTACTTAGTTTGTTTATAATGATATGATCTCATTATTAACTAACTATAAGGCCTAGCACATTATTATTTTTCGTTGGGCCCATGTGAGTCCTCATTACAATAAATGTTATACAATTTAAGTACAAAGAAAAAAGACGGGTTGATCAATGGTGTAGTTGGTGAGGGAAAACTCCAACAGCTTAATTTGGTATGTGGATATATTATAGATGAAGATGGAGAAGTGTGGTTTTGAAAATAGTGGGTGTATGTGGATAATTAATATGGTTTTTGTTTGTGTGGTTTTGTTCGCTCATTTTCAAGATATCTATGGTCCTATGGATATATATAACTATAGCATTGCTACTCTCTTTTAACTTTGTGGAAGAATTTAGGTGTTAAAAATAAATAAATTATCTAATCTAGTTAAAGTAGGATCATATAAGTTAAGCCTATACATGAAATTATTTTAACCAACACTCATGTGTAAATATTACAATTGGCATTGAGATCTAAAACATGTATGAGATTCTCTTTGATTTTTATACAAACAATATCTATTTAAATAATAATAGTATAATTAAATTTTATGATTTGAAAAAAAGATCAAGCATACAATATAAGTAATTGCTTTAAAATAATCTAATCTAATAAAATATAATAAGAAGAAAATAGATGAAAATAATGTGAAAAATTATTGTAATTTTATAATTTATAATTTTTAAACAATCTAATCTAATCTAATAAGAAGAAAATAATAAATGCACATACATGTTGAAAAAGATGAAAGTACTATAAAAATTATTGCAATTTTTAATCTGAAAAAAAGATCAAACATACAATATAATTAATTACTTTAAAATAATCTAATCTAATCTAATCTAATAAGAGGAAAATAGATGAAAGTGCTGTGAAAATTATTGATATTTCTTGATATGAAAAAATCAAATATATAATATAATTAGTTGTTTTAAAATAATTTAATCTAGTCTAATAAGAAGAGAATAATAAAGGCATATATCTATAAAAGGAGATGAAAGTGCTATGGAAATTGTTATAATTTCTTGGCTTATATACATTGGTATATGATGTTGCGTGTGAGAGGATAACAATTATAATTAGAGTTCTATTTAAAAAATAAGAGTATAATTTAACTTTAAAAATAATTATGTAGTAACATGAACTACTTGAATTTTAGTTGGTGAGAGATCGCCATGTTATGTCCTCATATCACAGCCGTTTGTTTTAATTTTTCTTTTTATAATTTTGAGAATGATTTTGTCTTTTTAATTTGTTTGATGGATTTTGCAAATACCTTATCCACATTATGTACATTTGTAGCTCTGTGCTGTTCATGGGTTCGACCTCTGGGACGGACATTATTTGTCTCACTAATTTATTTGATTTTTGTATATACGCCCTCCATATTGTATACATTTGTAAATTTAACATTTAATAATTTCATTCAGGTTTACATTTTAATTTAAACTATATTCTTATCTTCATACTATGTATATCCAATGAGAATTCATCAATTTATCAACTCATGCTTACTTAATGGATTAGTATTTGAATATCAAGGGTATTTTTGTCTACCAAAAGATTTTCCCGAACTTGTGCTTTCAAAGTGAGTATGATAATCCATCAAAAAATAAGCATGTATATACCACTCATGTATATACAACTCTAAATGGAGACTGGTATTTAGAAACCCACAACACGAGAATTAGTACGTCGAGTGAAATAATCCAAACAAGAAAACCCTTATATATGTACCATGTCTCAAATTGTGAATCACTAAATACCAATTCCAAACCTATGAATGAAAAATAATACATAAAGGAAAAAAAATACCACAACTCCAAACCTCAACCATACAGAGCCAATGTCACAGTCTCGAACTACCCTCAGGTAGTTGACGTCGTCGTAAGGAAATGTCATCCAGCATAACATTACCATAGATCATACCATGTATGCCAAGTATCCGATGTGTACCCTACTCTCGGGTAATCTAACATGGGAGCAAACTACAACTGTGTATATATATATTTATTAATTAACGATACTCTTGTAAGGTTCTCACAATATCATGTGGATTCAACATCCTTACTCAATCGTTCTGCGGCAATAGGTATATCTCCCTATTCCGTATGATGCATCCTGATGATCGTACAACGAAATATAGGCATATCAGCCTAATCCGGAAAAACCTCGACCATCTTCGAGTATTGGTACAGCCGCGGTCTCATTGCGGGAAAAACATCCAATACACCTAATGTGGTACAACCGCGACCTCATTGCGAGAAAACATCCACACCGTACATCCACAATTGATGAATTATGCATGATCATGTGTTATACCAACATCTACAAATTTAGATATATGTTGTGCATCTCAATTATGCATATAAACTCAACTAGGAACTTAATTCAAGTGTTCGTGCACATATCTCGATGTGCGAGTCAATACCTCATGTTCACAAACATCTCAGGTGTTAAACAAATCATAAACATCCTAGAATAATACAGGTCAATCGAGAAAAATTCCTCGATTAACAATTTGAGTCAAAACATGCACAAGGTTGAAATACACTGGCTGTCGACCGGCACTTAGGTCGCGGTTGACCGGCCAGCGGCCAGAAACTTGGTAATTGCAGTTTGGCATTTTATGTTCGCGTGCGTGTTTCGTGATCCTAACTTATTTAACTCGTTATATAACTTGAATAAAACATTGTCAACACTAGATTAACATCTCTGAAGATTATTAAACACATGAAACAATATTAATTTGCATGAGATAACATATACAAACCCTAAACATGTGTAAAATCCTCAACACGACATATAAAACATCAAAACGCAGTTAAAACTCTTGCTTAATTAATTTCAGATCTTAAACCACCTCTAAAAATTCGTTTATAATCAACTAAACACGAAAAGATCTAATCTTTAACTCAAATATTATAAAAGAACTATTTTCATACTCAAAATAGTTGATTTGGCTCAATAAAACCACATTAAAACTCAATAAAACATTTAAAAACGTGGGAGTAGGGTTAGCAAAGATGAAACTCGCCTGAAAACTTGTTGAAAACGTGAAGGATGCAAAGCCAAGGCAAATCCCTAAGCCACACGCCAAAATCAATTCGAAATCCCGCTTCAAAAGCTCTTTTGCTCTCACAAAATAAGATCAAGGGTTTAAAAGAGGGTTTGGTGGCTGCTAGGGTTTTAAAACTCTGAAATAATATGTAAATTTTCGTGAAAAAAAAAGATTATATAAACACCTATGTGCAGCTGGGCCTCAAAAAACCCGAAACCAACTCAGAACAGGAAAAACAGGAACCTGTCAGGCGGTCGACCGCGACTTGTGCGGCGGTCGACCGACACGCATATTTCCAGTTTGTGCAGGTTTTGCCTTTGTGCATATTTTCGACTCGATTCTTTCACACATACAGACTTGTTTGCACTCAAAACACTTACTATCATACTCATACACCATTTAATGATATTTATCACGATAAATATCCACTTATCTCAATTAATCGCATATTATTTTAAATTATCACATATTAATT